CTTGGAATATATACAATTTCCAGATAAGCTGGAGTTAAAGACAGGCACACCTATTATCTATAACACAGAATTTTACTCTCTCATAGTTTATCTGTCACTGCCTTTGTTTTACGCTTTTGTAGACTGAAATCTAATACATTTTACAATCACAATCTAACTTGTTTTACAAGCTTGGCTTATCTGTTTATCATCTCTACCATACAAAGAATGACCTTGTGAGACAGTGTCTTGTTGATGCACTTTTCATACGGTGAAAGATACATTCAAGGTCAATTATTAAAAAAAAAAAAGTCTTAAAATGCTATAGGCGCAGGGCTTTTAGAAAATGCCAACGTCCTGTGTTTACAGGAAGGAGCAGTTTATCGTGGAAGGGCAAGTCAGGACTCTTGCTTGGCAAGATTCAGCCCAGTCCGTTGGCAAAGAATCACCCTCTTCCTGAGATATTTTCAGGACCACTTGCTTCCATTACAGTTTTTCTGGAGAAAGCTTTTTGAAAGACGGTAGGGAAATAAATACTGCATGACTAGAACTGGGCAAAGAGCTGACAGCAGAAACCTGGGGCTGACAAGGGGAAGTAACACAGAAATGGAACTCAACCAGTTTCAAGAGTTGCCTGTCATGTGTGGGAGAGAAGGAGCTTGTGCTTAGAATCACAGAACAGTTGAGGTTGGAAAGGATTCAGTTTGTACCCATTGCCCCTTGTCACGTCACTGGCCACCACCAAGAAGACAGGGTTAGCCCCATCCTCTTTACATTCTCCCCTCAGGTATTTGTAGTTGTTGATAAGATCGCCTCTCAACCTTCTCTTCTCTAGGCCCTACTCGCTTTGTCCTTCCTCATAAGATAGATGCTCCAGCCCCTTAATCATCTTTGTGGCCCTACACTGGACTCTATCTAGAAGTTCCACGTCCCTCCTGTACTGGGGAGCCCAGAACTACACTCGATACTCCAGATGCAGCCTCACCAGAGCTGAGCAGAGGGGTGGGATCCCCTCCTTTGACCTGCTGCCAACACTCCTCCTCATGCAGCCAGGATCCCATTGGCCTTCTTGGCCATGAAGGCACATTGCTGACTCATGGTTAACCTGTTGTCAACCAGGACTCCCAAATCGCCCTCTGCGGAGCTGCCTTCCAGTAGGTCAACCCCTAATCTGTACCTGTGTCCAGGGGGGTTATCCTCCCCCGGGTACAGGACCCTCCTCTTGCCTTTGTTGAACTTCCTGAGGTTCCTCTCTGCCCAACTCTTCAGCCTGTCCAGATCCCTCTGAATGGCAACACAGACCTCTGGAGTGTTGGTCACTCTCCCCAGTTCAGTATGATCTGCAAACTTGCTGGGCCATCCAGCCAGTTCTCAACCCACCCCAATGCCCACTCGTCTAAACCACACTTACTGAGCTTACCTGTGAGGATGTTATGGGAGATGGTGTCAAAAGCCTTGCTGAAGTCCAAGTAGACAACACCCACTGCTCTCTCCTCATCCACCCAGCCTGCCATCTCATCGTAGAAGGATGGCAAGTTGGTCAAACATCTTCCTGGGTGAACCTGTGCTGACTACTTCTGATCACCTTTTCCTTCGCATGCCCAGAGATGGTCTCTCCATCACCTTTCCAGGGATGGAAATGAGGCTGACCAATCCATAGTTTCCCGGGTCCTCCTTCTTGCCCTTTTTAAAGGCTGGAGTGATGCTGGCTTTCTTCCAGTCCTCTGGCACCTCCCCTACCCCTCCATGACGTCTCAAAGATGATGGAGAGCAGCTGAGCAACAACCCCTACCAGTTCCCTCAGCACTGTTGGATGCATCCTATCCGGGCCCATAGATTTATGGGTGTCCAGTTTGCGTAAATAATCTCTAACCCAATCCTCCTTGAACAATGGAAAGTCTTCCTCTTTCATGGTTTTCTCTCTTGTCTCAGGGCTCTGTAGTTCCTGGGGGCTAATCTTAGCAGTAAAGACTGAAGCAAAGAAGGCATTTAGTAACTCTGACTTCTCTGTATCCTCCATCACCAAGGCATTCACCCCACTCAGCAGCACGCTCATATTTTCCCCAGTCGTCTTCTTGCTGATCCTGTATTTGCAGAAGCCCTTCCTGTTGTCCCTGGTATCTCTTACTAACTCTAACACCAACCAGGCCTTGGCCTTCCTTGCCATATCCCTGCATTCTCTGACAATGTTCCTATATTCCTCCCATGTGGTCTGTCTCTTCTTCCACATTATGTATGCTCTCTTTTTCTCTAAGTGTTCCCAAGAGCTTCTTTCCCCATCCACACAGGCCTCCTGTCCCCCTTGCTTGACTTCTTTCTGGCAGGAATG